TAAGGTGGTTTTAGGAGGCATTAAAATAAATTTTATAATTCTTTGTGAAGCATTACAACTTTGCATTATGGGTGGTAGGTGCTTAAGAGGACATTCATGTGGTAACATTGAAGGGCTTCTCTAGGGCGACAGCAGTGTCTCCACTAATAAGCAATATGTGTATATTAAATGTGTGTGCATGTTTTTGAAAAGTTGTTTTAAATGATATCATATATGTAAAAAAGAAAGGTGAGGTTATAAAAGTATACCCCCAGTGGATTCTGGGTACAGAGACTCTGCTGAATGGGAGTTGCTTAACAGAGACAAAGAGATTCCAAACACCTGGTGGCTGCCTTTAGTGCTTAGCACAGCTTTCAATTCAGAGTTAGAAACAATTGAAACTGCCTGTTTTGTTTGGATTTTTACATTTTTTTAAAATTTTCAAAATTAGCACGTTAGGTATTAGATATCGTTGTGGCATTTTTGAGCAAAGTGTATTTTACTAGATTTTCCTCACCTCTACAATCCTCCCTGCTAACTCTGAGGCCACTTGTATCCTCCCTGTCTCCTTCCCTCTGTCATGTTCCATGTTTTCTCATCTCTATAAACTTCCCTGCTAACTCTGATGCCCCTTGTGTCCTGTCTCCTTCCCTCTGTCATGTCCCATGTTTCCTTCGCCCACCCCACCATCCTACTTCATCACTACCCTTTCTTGTCCTCTTTTCTAGCAGCTTAAGCTTTACACACACACACACACACACACACACACACACACACACACACACACACACCTGACTAATATTCACATATGAGAGAGAAAATGTAGTCGACTGACCAGAATCTTCAAAAGGTAGAAGAGGTCAGCAGTGGACATGTGACTCCATATTGTGAACTTTTCTAATGCATCTTTTCATTCTGGTGGTTATTATATCATATTTGATATAATTTAGGGGCGGTCTCAATACCCTGAGTCCACTGAGCTATGTGAAGGTACCTGGACACTAATAGTTCATATGTTTTTGCAAGCAAACAAACATGAGTATATGATATTTTTGTGCAGGAGCCACAATGTGGTGTTGAATATGTAGACTTCAATTAGATCCTGGGTTCCTACCGTTCTTTTCATAATCTTTGGAAGTAGTTAAATTTGACATCAAAGAAGCTGGTATGGCAGCTGATTTCCTGTTTTCCTCATGAGATTTTTACATGACTAATGATCATGTCAAACTTCTGCCTTACCACAAATAAAGTCTTCAAATATGGCTAAGCAGTCCTTGGAGCATCTGATGTGGGACATTCAGTAAGAATATGAATGTGTGAGCTCCTGGCCAGTCTCTTCTGCTAGGATGAGACTGTGTTGGCAGAAGATGTTTAAAAACTAATTTCATGCACCTACCATCCCCAAAATAGTCAAGAAACCAGGAAAATGACAATAGCATTCTAATTTGCCTAATGCATTTCAGGAGAAAACAAAAGTGGAAGGCTTTACATTGTTCTTTGTTACTTGGTTTTAGTTTGGTCAAGCGTAGCACTAGCCAACTGTGGAGTGGGAGTCACTTTAGAAATTCAGATAGGAAGTATATTAAGTAAGGTAGGTGTAGGTGCCTTAACTACTCAACGAGGTAAAGAAACCAGAGCTAGACACTGTAGGAAGAAGCCAGTCCTAGGTAAGAGGGGAAGACATTCTGGCCCACACGGGCACAAACCTGCTGCCTGCTGCTGGGAGAAGGAAGGCTCTACTGTGGCCTGGCAGAGATGCCGTCACTGTATGGAAGGCCTCAGAGATCCCTGAACTCTGTTCCCATATTTCCTTGGCACCGCAAAAACCAACCAACAAACCAACAAAACAAAACAAAACAAAGCAAAACTAAACACCCGAGAGGGAAATGGCTTCTTTTCACCCCAGTAGTCTCCAGTGTCCCTTATCGTCAGACCTGGGAGTGACTCAAAGGCCAAATGAGAGATATGGTCAGTGACGCCCAGCCTGGTACCACAAGGCAGAACAGAAAGAATGTGTGGAGATGAGGGTCAATAAATAAGAGCCAGCACAAACCCATTCATCTGTCATTTAAGATGTTATGTTATCTCCTTTCTGGCACAATATCCCACAAATCAACAAACTCATAAATCAGGTTTCCCAAATGTGTGTCAAGTTTTAGATGTTATGAATGATTTTGAAAAGGGATATTAAAAAAAAAAACCTAGATGCTGTTTGTATTCATCATAAAATCAAATAATGTGAGTACAGGCCCATGTCTTGGCTTACAGGGTCTACAGTGGACAGTGTTGTGTCTACTGTCTGCAGGGATTCTGGCTGTAGTTTAGTATGTATGTTCTCTTAGAATATTACCTGGGGTTGGTTACTACTGATGAGCCACTTTCTGACCTACAAAGTTCAAACTACACTGTTTCTTCTTACCCTGTACCAACATCTTCTTAAAAAAAATCCTAATGAAGCCAGCCTAGATGCCCATCAACAGATGAATGGAAAATAAAATATGGTACTTATACTCAATGGAATCTTATTTAAGTAAAAGGAAAAGTGAATTTTGCAAGAAAATAAATCTATCTGGAAGATGTAATACTAAGTCAAACTCAGAAGGATAGAAAACTGCATTTTCTTTTTCGTATGTGGACATTAGTGTGTAATGTATATGTGTACCCGTGTGTGTGTGTGTGTGTGTGTGTGTGTGTGTGTGTGTCTTTGTGTTAGTGTGTGTAAATGTGAGTGAGCCTAAACCCTGGAAAGGAGGGCAAGAGAGGGCAAAGATGAGCGCTGAAGAAGGTGCTGGCCTGAGACATGAAAGGGAGGGTACAAGGTTGGTTAGGGCTGGCAGGGAGGTTTGTGGAGATGAGAGAGAAGAAGCTACTAAAATATACTTTGTCAAAAAATGCCATAATGAGGTTGGGCAGTGGTAGCAAACACCTTTAATCTCAGCACCTGGGAAGCAGAGGCAGGTGGATCTGTGAGTTCCAGGCCATCCTGGTCTACAAAATGAGTTTAGAACAGCCAGGACTACATGGAAAAACCCTGTCTCAAAAAACTAAAAGGGAAAAAAAAAGCCATAATGATATCTAATATCTCATTTGCTAATTTAAAAACTTTTATACTATTTAAAAATCAAAACAAAACCAGTAGTTTTGTTTGTCTTTGGTCCTCACTCTGTACTGAAACTCTATGTGAAGCACTAATGACACTCACTAAGTATTTGAAATTTGTTTCTTCTGTTTCCATTAAGCAACACTTATGGGGCAAAGTTTCTGTACTCAGAGCTCATTGAGGGCATACTCCTACAACTTCTCTTTTTACCATCTTAGAAAAAGAGAACAAAACAACAACAGAAACCCCAATACAAGTAAGCAAATGAAAAACCAACCAACCTAAACAAACAAACAAATAAAATACCAAAACAAACAAGCAAATAAAAAAAAAAACCTAGAGCAGCTTTGTCAGTCAGGTGGGCTTTAGGCAAAGCATGCTGGCATATTAGTGTAGGGCCTGGATATCACTCATGAATTCTGCTTTAACATGTGACTGGCTTTTTCCACGATTGCATTCTTTTTTGCTTTGGCTGCCCTCATAATACCCTGGTGTTAAAAAAAAACATATAAATATACAAACAAACAAAAAATTAGGCTTTTTCTTTTTTAAAGTATCAATTTTTTGAATTGATCTAGGAAACATTACAGCAGGTGTACCAAGCATCAAATTCTGTGCTAAAACCTTCCCCTCTTCCCCTCAAACAGCCCTCCAGAGGGTGAGGAGCAGGTAGTAGGAATGGACTATTTCCCTGATTCTTCCACGCCTCTTAAGTTCCAACATTGGCCTTGGAATCAGAGAAGACATAGTTCACCTCTGACTATGAAGACCAAAGTGAAAGCTGGATGTTAAATTGAAGTACTTTTAAATTATTCTTCAGGGAAGATTGATATATTTATCCCCTTTATATTGCCTGATATAATATGAACCATGCCAGGATTAATTGTTTAATTAATTGTTTACAAAGAGACATTTGCAATGGATGCTGTTTCCCTTACTTTGCCTGGTCTAAACTCCAGAGTCCTGATAGAAATTGTTAGACAGATATGTCCGGGAAGCCATAGGATCTATGATGACACTTGAGCGTGTAGTTTTGAAGAGAAGAAAGTGACTCCCTTAAAGATAATTCATATCTTTATGGCTCCTGTTACCACCAAGGGCCATGTGGATACCAGGGGGTGGGTCAGCCACTTGAGACCATGTTGGTGTCCAGAAGGCCATACTGCCTCCAGGACCATACTGACCTGGGTGAGCTGCTGCCAGGGTCCATATTTGGGTCTTTGGTCCTGCTGCAGCTGGGGTCTGCATTGATTTCCATGGTCCATGTTACCACAGGAGACTATAGGAACCATGAGTGTTGAAATCCAAAGGCCATGCTGAGTACCATCCTTCACTAACCCTGGGAGAGCTAGCCTTGCCTCTCAATGGCCACTATAGCAAGAAGAGCTTGTTCCACCACTCTTGGGAGAGATGGCCCCACCGCTCACCATGGCCATGGCAGAGCTGGCCCCATGGCATGGGTATAGAAGAGCTGGCTCCACCCCTTGCCTAAGGGGGCCAGTCCCAGGGGCCAGAACTGACCAAGTCAGCTACCACCCAGATATGCATCCAAGGCTTTGAGTTTGCCCACCTCAAAATCTACCCCATCTATGACCTGCCAATGTGCCTGAAGGGACTGGTCCTGTGGAACCATAGCCACAGGCTCTCCATGACTCAGGATATCTAAGAGAAGTTTTTGTAAGGGTCCAGTATTGATGGTGTAGCAGAAGTCATAGGCCTTGTACCAGACCAACAACTCATTGCAATGAACATCAGCAACTAAAGCGGAGTGGACAAAAGGGTCTACTGCATGACACACTGCGCGGCTCCCAATGCCACTAGGAGGAATGAAGAGGAGTTGGACAGTCAAGAAAGATAGAGGAGCGAAGTGACTTGTTTGTTTTGTTTTTAATTAATATTTTTAAATTTTCTTTTCGGGGAGACACTATGAGGGTGAGAGGCAGATATAGAGAGACTGGGAAATGAGTGAGATTGGGGTGCATGATATGAATTTCCCAAAGAATCAATAAAGAGTTATGTTAAAATAAATAAATAATGCATGTCCAAAGTATATTTTGTTGTGTGCAATTATTATATAAATGAATGAAATATTACTTTGACGCATACAAAGTTTCATGTAATACATCATTATTATATGGGATTTTCTTCTCCCAGAATGTGCTTTCTTCAGTCATCTGCTTGATTAATTCTTTCTTGTCCATCTAACCTGTGTCCAGATTTCCCCCTTCAGTGAGGTCTGGATGGGACAACTACTTACAAACTGTCCCTCTCCCTTCTCTTAGTCCCACTGTCCCTTCCAGAGCACACACATTTTCTGACATTTAATATCATTTATTCATGTATTACCTTAAAGGCTTTATGGTAATCCTTTCTCTCCTCCCCCTCCTCCCCTCTGCAAAAAAAGTTCCTGGAGAGTCGGCAGTTCTGTCTCCTTGGATCTTCGCTTCATGGATCTTGCACAATAAATATTTGTGGAGTTATGAGCATCAGTTTCGGTTCCTTTACAAGTTAGTGGTGTCAGTATGGTAAATGATCTTAGTCCTCATAATGAGTTTTCTTTGGTAGTTTTGTGGCTTCTCTTCTGTTGCAACAACCAGCATTTTTAGTTTGACAGGCTGTCTTGGTTGGTGTCACATTACTTGGACTCTTCTCAAACTCTGTACACTAGAAGCACGGGCTTTAAGTGATTGAACCGGAGGCTTTTGATGCCATTGAGATGCCAATGATTGAATTCGGAGGAGTCTCTGCTCAACAGTAGCTTATACCTAAGTCAACTCTTCGACCTGGGATGTGAAGGCACATTGACCGATGGTCAGCTTATATACCCATTCAATATATATGATGAAATAAAATAAACCATTGCCTATTTAGATGTGTTCCAATAGTTATTAAAGACCGGTACAACATATCACAATCACTGTTCTATTTAAAAATGTGTTAGCAAAGTACCCTCGATTAGAAGACCAGATAGGGATGTTACCATTCAGCCATAAGCATTCATGACTCTGATTCCTTACCTTCAAACTCATTATCTTTTAAAATGTCACCATAGCAACTTGGTAGGCTACACCACTGCTTCTTTATAGGGTATCTGTTTTAAATAGAACAGTCTATAATTTAAAGAGAAAAAGTGACAAATGTTGGATATATTCAATACAAAAACTTCTTGAAGTTTTCATATGTTAAACAGTCTTTCAACATTATATGGTATCACATAACTTATACTAGAAACTATGTAATAATTTATGTTTCACCAAATAATAGTAATGAGATGTATAGGTACTATACACTCATTATATCCTTCAACATTTTCATTTTCTTTGTCCTTTCTATGAATTCAACATGGTCATTTCTTTTCATTTTCAGGTAGGGAGACTGTTTAGTGGCTAGATAACTTAAGTCACAAATCAGACAAAGAAGACTAGTGAAAAAAACATTGACTACCACCACTTTGCCTGATCCATCCTGGGGACTCTTCAAAGGATGACTTTGTGACACCATGAGCAAGATGTTTCAGCTCACCCAATGCTAAGCTAACATTAAATGAATCTGAACAGATTATTGTTACTTTACTTACATTCCTTTTCCTAAGTATGAAGTTACAGGTCTCCAGATGAAGATGGCAGGAAGTGGGCCTCCCCACACTTTGTGAGCATTATCCACACCCCATTCTAGATATTTGAGGTGTAGTTTGGATGGCTAGGATGATGCAAAGCTGTCTTTGTAGGCCTGTGTTCCTCACCAGCTTCCATTTGGTTCTCACCACTCAAGGTCTTCTCTGTGGTCAAGAAGCCAGGTAGGAATATCCATACGTCACGTGCTTTCATGGGGCTGCTTTATTCTTCTTGCCATTCCCTGGAGGTTGTTATAGTGCACCAACACCGGAGGTGGGATTTCCAAGGTAATGATGTCTGACAGACAGTCAAAAATATGAGACAGACATTAAAAAATTATAACTTGAAAGCCAGAGTGAATAGACCATCAGTTCATTCTGTGATTAGGTTAGCTTGACACTTTTCAAAGCACAAATCTAAGTTCTTGAGGGAATTTGTGCATTTTAGTTTGAAAATGCTCAGTTTTCCTTAGACGGTTTCTAAGCTTTGTCTTGACTGACAGCCAGTTGAGTTTTGTACTAGAAAAAAGGAGACGATGAGATAAATTATAGTTTCATCTGTCTGGTTTGAGGATCAAACATTGGTAACTGAACTGAGTTCTGGTGTAGTAACAGTTTTTGGTGAAATGGCCAAATTTGGGGTAAGTGAATTTTGTTGTTGTTTTTTGTTTTTTTAAATTGGTGGTAGCCATCATGACTTCTGTATCTAATGGGTTCTCAAAGACTAAGGGAAATTGTCTGGATTGTTGACTCAGTTACAATCATTTTTAAACTCCTTTTTTTTTTTTTTTAAATACTGGCAGCCTTTAGGAAAGAGATCACCAACTGAAGAAGGAGAAAGCTATAGGTACCCAAGTGGCAGAGTGGGGAGGAATGATGGGAAAGTCTAAACAGGTGGGCCACGAGGCCAGTACTTACTGGGAAGGATGCATCCTCTCTATGTACATAGGCCTGGAAGCTATTCTGTTCTCATCTTGCCAAGGTTAGCAGGAGCTACGAAACTCCAGTACATTAAAGCTCAGGAGAGGTTGCACAAAACTATAAATATGGGGGAAGCTCAGCCCTATGAAATTGGCAATCACAGTAGCCAATTTACTCATACCTTTAGGTCAAAGCTTAAAATGAAATATAAGAGGAGGGTGTAGGCATTCTTTTCTTTATCTTTGTTTAAATTGGAACAGCAGGGATTTGTTTATGAAAACAATTCCAGACAAATTACCACAGTTGTCCTACACAACCCATCAAACATGGAGAGGTTGGGCGAGTGCCTACACAGAGCTTTCACCCCTATGTTCTAGTGCCTTTGGTACAGGAAGGTACTCTGCACACTACCAAAAGAGAAGCATAAATGCCAAACCAGGAAAAGTACTTTGATCTATAATGGTATCTTGCCTGCAATATAAGCTAGGGCAATGGTGGCCCAGGGTTTTTGGGAGTAACCAACCGATATCTGAGTTGACTTAAGGCCTGCTACAGGAGATGGGACCCATATATGACATTGTTTGGGTTGACCAGATAGCTCAGGGATCTAGGGTAAAACCAAATACTACTTGTCTTTAAAGAAGTAAAAAAGTAGTAATGAATGACTTCTAATGACATTCTGCTGTACTCATTGATCACTGCCTTGTTTAGCCACCAACAGTGAAGCTTCTTTCTACAGTGGGTCTACAAATACAGAGACCCAAAGCCAGACATTAGCAGAAAGTGAGAGACCTCAGTACACTCAGCCCTAAATGGGATTTCTCCATCAAACCACTCTCCTCAGGGTTCAGGGAACCCTGCTGAAGAGGAGGCAGAGTGTAAAAGCCAGAGGGGATAGAGGAAACCAGGCCTTCTAAATCAATATGATCAAAGTTCATATGAACAGAGACTGCTAAATGGTCTTATTAATAAAAAAAACCTGGAGCCAGATATTGGGGTGAAAGCTGAGAGATCAGAGGAATAGAACAAGCCACAGCCCCAAGTTCTTACCCTGGGAAATCCTCAGCCCAAGAGAGAGCCACTTCCTGTATACTCATGCCTACATCCTTTCTGTACCCTGCCATCTCACTTCCTCTCTCCATTCAGCTACATCACTTCCTCTTTCCACCCAGCTACATCACTTCCTTTTTCTGCCCAGCTCTATCACTTCCTGTCTGTCTATACAGACCTCTAGAACTCTATGGTTAACTAGTGCTAGAATTTAAAGGTGTGTGCCACCATGCCTGGCTCTGTTCCCAGTGTGGCCTTGAACTCACAGAAATCTAGATGAATCTCTGCCTCCCGAATCCTAGGGTTAAAGGCGTGTTTTGCCATTGCCTGACTTCTATTTTTAATATAGTGGCTGGCTTTTTCCTCTGATCTCCATGTAAGCTTTATTTATTAGAGCACAAATAAAATATCACCACAATTATGGCTTCTAGTTAAGTGTTTTTATGGGATTCCTAAGTATGTGAATGAGTAGGTCTCTGTTTCTTGTGCCTTCTCTTGTATTATTTTCCTCATGTTTGTTTTGTCTAAATCCAATATGTTATTTTTGTTTATGATGTTATGTCATATTATAATATGTAATATATTATATATACAATTATCACATTTCTCTTCTCAGAAACACATTTGATGAGGAATTGCACTGAAAGAATGGTCTTGGAACAGATTCAGAAAGGAAAGTTAGACACTTCCTTACTTGATATCAGACTATACTGAAGCTGGCAGAAATGGGATGCAAATGAGGATCATGCACAGGCAAGTGAAAGGGATGTCAGATGTCAGTGTGAGCTCATCACAGAAATGGCTGTTCCGCAGGGGCCAAGGATCTCACAGTATCCCAAGGAGGATGGATGGACTCATCAATAAACACTACAACGTCACTGTTCATTGTTTATTTTATTGCATTACATTTACCTATTAAATAAAAAATACATAATTTTTAGTTTATTCATTCTCAATGAACATTTTGGGTGTTTATTGATTTCAAATTTAGCTTCATAGTTCTGAGTCATCTCTGAAAATGCATAAGAACTTAAGTATCGGCATATTAACAATGTTTATAAAAGTTAATCCATTTGAGACAATATGAGGCATCATTTTCGATGTATATCTAAACTGCATGACCTCTACCTGGTACTCAACCTGAGCAAAATGGATAATTGCCTACGTGCTGCAGAAGAGCAGGGAACAGAGTCCATTGCCATCTTCTGTATTACAAGTCACCCAAGTGGTCACTGTGATTTGGGGGTACACTGTTCGCTAAAACAGAACAGCTCAGCTGCTTTACAGAATGCAAACCAAACCACCAGTTGTTCAAGGAGGTTGCTGGGCCACCTGCCTCTTCCCAGATAGCAAACAGCACAGCACTAAATTGGTACTAACACAGGCACGCATCTTCCTTTCGGATACAAGATGACTCGACAAACAATTGTACACAACTGCAGACATTTTCAAAAGAAAATTTAAAAGAAGAAGACGTGGCATTTTGGAGCATGGTCTTTGCAGAACCATTTGTACAATATGTGATGAAATACACGAACAGAACATGACAAAAATAAAAATAATTGCATTATTTACATATTGAAATATCAAAGTATGAAACACATGCATCTTGCCTCATGGTAAGAGCAGTTAAAGGCACTGCTAACTGCGTTTGGACAATTAGATCAAAATAGAATGTTCTCAGTCAGCCTCCACAATTCCGCCATGGCAGATAGCACTTCATTTACTAGGGCTGTCAGAACTCCGATGCTAAACTGCAGTAATAGTTGAGGTGGCACTTTATAAATAGCATAAATCAAATGAAGAATGAATTACTCATGACTTGTGACCAAAATAAAATAACAATGATAAACCTATCACAAAACTGTCTAGAAATAGAAAAAAACTGTCACGAGGGAAAATACTGGAATCAGATTATGCAAAGGGGAAACTATGACTTTGGAAGGAGAAAACTCAGCTCTTGCATGAAATATTACCTCTAAAGCTATCCTAAAGTTGCGCATGTTGAGTGCCTTGTACCACTCAAAATAAAGCACACATTAGGTATTTTTACCTTTAGCATCTAGTTCTTCAATGGTAAACTCGGGGTGTGGTGGTATAATCTACTGGATTAGTGTTTTTGTTAGAAGATAATTCAAAAGCATGTTTTTATCTTTTATTTGAAATATTTTGAAACAGTATGTTGCTAAAAAATTGAACTCATAATACTTGAGTTCTAAATGTTAAAGAATGAGTTTTGTTAAAAATTGTGTGTGTGCATATGGACGTGTGTGTATGTGTGTGTGTGTGTGTGTGTGTGTGTGTGTGTGTACGTGCACTTGCATGCTTGTGTGCATATGGGTGTATGTATGTGTGCATGCATATGGGCATATGTGTATGAATTTGTCTGGGTGAACCCAGGCATGTGTGTGCCACAGAAGGTGTATGATCAGAAGACACCCTTGGTGTAGGGTCTCACCTTCTACCTTTTTTTTTTTTTTTTTTTCCATCACAGGCAATTTATTTTGTTCTATTCATTCACAGTTAATACAGAAAATACTTGGAAACATTTCCATATAATGTTTGACAACAGAAATCATCAAATAGAAATATACAAT